ACATTGTGACCGAAAAGCTTTCGGAAATTCTCATTTAAAATTCGCGCGCTGTATATTTTTCGATATTTTAAGTTTATGTAGTTTGGCAGCACTGTCCTTAATTACTATGCCAAAAATGAGCGCGATCTTTCAGACAGTTCGTTTACGGCAGCTGTTGAAACCAGTTCACCTCAGTAGTGCGTTGCGAAAAAAACAATGGAAAAAAATATTGAACAAAGAGTTTGCATCAAATTTTGTATTTCGAACGAAATTTCGTGTGCAGAATCGTTGCGAATGCTACAAAAGGCTTATGGGGAATCAGTTTTATCGAAAACTCAAGTTTATGAGTGGTACAAAGCCTTTCAGGACTGTCGTACGACCGTCGAAGACATGCCGCGTTCTGGACGACCTTCGACCTCTACCACCGACGAAAACATTGAAAAGGCAAAGGAAATCGTGTTCAAAAATCCTCATGTGAGTGTTAGAGAGATAGCACGAGAGCTAGGCATCGGTCGTGAGATGGCTCGTTTGATTTTGGTGGACAATTTGTGTATGCGACGTGTCAACGCTCGGCTTTTTCCGATTCACCTCAATTTGTTCCAAAAACACCATCGTGGACAGGTCTCGTTAGACATGCTTGATCGTGCCAATTCCGATCCAACTTTCATGGAACGCATCATAACGGGTGACGAGACATGGGTCTACGAGTACGACATGCAAACAAGCCAACAATCATCGGAATGGAGAGGAAAAGACGAGCCGAAACCGAAAAAACCACGCCAAAGTCGCTCGAAAATCAAGGCAATGCTGATTGTTTTCTTCGATATTCGTGGTGTGGTGCATCATGAATTCGTCCCTGAAGGACAAACAGTCAATAAAGACTATTATTTGACTGTTTAAGACGTTTGCTTGAAAATATCCGCCGTAAACGGCCTCAATTGTGGAAGGATAATTCATGGATTTTTCATGACGATAATGCTCCCTCGCACCGAGCCAACATTATCAACGATTTTAAGGCCAAAAATTCAATAAATACCATCGAACAGCCACCGTATTCACCTGATCTTGCACCGTGTGACTTTTTCCTGTTTCCCAAACTCAAATTACCACTCAGAGGAACGCGTTTTGAATCCATATAAGACGTAAAACAGAATTCGCAGAGGGAACTCAAAGCCATACCGGAAAGCGCCTATAAAAAATGTTTTGATGATTGGAAGAAACGTTGGCATTTGTGTATCGCTTCTAATGGAGCATATTTTGAAGGAGATAAAATAAATATTGATGAAGATTAAGAATTTTGCGTTTTATTTAAAATTTCCGGAAACTTTTCGGTCACAATGTAAGCCTTTATTTTGTCATTATTTTGGTGACAATAACTGAGCCGCACATTGCACCATATGTGCAATATGCATGTCAAAACTGTGTCGGTTTCAAGTAAAACCATATGTAGAACACTTGCATTAGTAAATATAATACTATTTATCGATAAGATATTTTTGTAAGAATATTATATACGTCTAATTTGGGTTAACCAATTAGACGCAAGTATTATAAGTATTAACCAATAGAATCAGTACATAAGATTTTATTGGAAATTAGTATTAAGAAACAATGTTAGATTTAAGAATGAAGAAATTAATAAAAACAGTCTTCTACAAACACTGAAAACGACGCTTCTTTTATTTTCGATAAAGATTAAACAGTATAATATGCTGAATAGCTTATTCAGCAATTATTTAATTACACTTTGTTAGAATATGTTCTTTTATGAAATAAATAAAATATATAATTTATAAACCCGACAAAATTACTAGACATAATTGTGGAAATGGAAGCCAAATATGAAAGTAGTCTTTCACCCAAACTTTCAGGTTTCGAAGCGGAAATCCCGAAAATACATATCTCAGAGCCAAGCACGATGAATAACAAGTTTCAGGACATAGCGTGAATCGCCAATCAAGTTCGTAAATGGGCTGTACATTTCGATGGTGAAACAAATCCATTACCATTTTTGGAAAAACTGGAAACACTCTCCGAAACATATAACATTCCCCCGAACATTTTGCCAAGGATTTTGCCAGAAATGCTCGAAGGAAGAGCCCTAATGTGGTTCCGTAAAAATAATCGAAGATGGACGCAATGGTCAAGTTTCACACAGGACATTCGAGACTTCTTTTTACCCTCTAACTATTTAGATCAACTAGAAGATTCGATTCGCAACAAGTATCAACAGAAGAGTGAGTCGTTTAAAAATTATGCTTTAGAGTTACAGGATTTGATGCGGCCAGCCGAGCTAACAAGGGGACAACAATTAAGTCGAATTTACCGAAATAGTAGGCCATAATAGACCAGCTACATATTAAACCATGTGAATTTACCTCTCTGGAAGGCTTGATCAAGTTAGCTGAGAAATTTGAGCGACTTACTCAACTAAGTTACATAGAGCGCCAACACACTCTCGATTTTTCACCGCCGGTTCCCGTTCATAGGATACAGACCGGAAGGGTAGACGTGCGAAGTGCTTGTCACAGATGTGGGGAAGCAAATCATTTTGCACGAGAATGCACAAAACCTAGGAAACTTTTTTGCTGGATTTGTGGCACTTTAGGCTGTCGAACAATCGAGTGCTGCAGGAAAAATCCAACCTACTGGAATCACCAGAGCTCATCGGGAAACTCCTTGGGGGTTGTCACGTCAGGCGGGACAACAACCACCCGATCATCTTACCCGTTAAATTAGAATTCAGTCACCCAAAACTGATGGAGAAAAGAATAGTCCGTAATCAAAGCGTTGAATTGAATGATTATATCCAGCAGGAAAATAACCAGTCACCAATCCAACCAACCACAAAGCAAGCAACAACAGTAACAGCTAGAAATCTAGTAACAAATACACTACCTACGCTAAGCATGCCGCTTCGAAGTGATTCAGAACCACACTCAGTATCACAACAGGGAAAACAACAAAAGCAGGTGTTGCTTAAATGCGTCGTAACTCCTCCACAGATTTCAACGTCTCATAGAGAAAGTCCAGAAGTATGTTATCAACAAGCCCATGCACAACAGTCGCCAGCCAACCGCAATCACAACACACAACCACGAGAACAAAAGCATCAAATCGAAGAGCATGATTTATCATCACGTCCAGCACTGCCACAACGTTTAACGATAGTACCAGAGTCATCACATGTCAATCATCCATTGTTACCAACTTCTACAAATTCAGAATCATCGTCGCAAACGCCACAGAGTCATTCAGAAAGTAATTTCAAATCATCGTCACAAACGCCACAGTGTCATTCGCAAAGTAATTTCAAATCATCGTCGCAAACGCCACAGAGTCATTCGCAAAGTAATTTCAAATCATCGTTACAATCAAAGAAACTTTAGCCACAGCCACCACTTCCTGTTAATCAGCAACAAGCACAATGAGAAGCACCACCAAGAAATAGTCGCCAGTCTGGTCCACCATCATCTTCGTCATCAACTACATCGCCACAGAGGAAACCTACTACAGTACAGCCAGTATCGAACAATTGTCATGTACAACTTACAAATCCATTAGATCCATTAGATATCAATGTTTCAGATAGTAAACTTAATGCGGAACTACCAAGCCAAGAAACTCAAGCAAAAGATAAAGTCAGGCGCGACAGTCAACAAGAACCATGGTCACCACAAGAGGAATTAAAAGTCGTTCAACCAAGCACAAAAGAAAACAAACCAGAAACTCTAGTAAGACGTCTAGGCACATTTAAACGAAAGGATGACCATCACATGTCAAAAACCAAGATGATTACTACAAAATTTTCAAGAGTCCAAATATTAGAAAGAGAAATCGAGCCTCGTTCTAAGAGGAATATTAGTAACACAAGTAATAGCATGTATCACATGGAAAATAATAGGAAAACAGCCCACGTCAGCGATATCAAATTGTACTACGCAGACTCTAATCGTAAAGAGTACGGAGGTGGATTTAGTTCACAAGAGATACCCGAAGAACCAAAGACACCGAGTGCAAGTTAACCAAAGAGGTGTAGTCAGTGTTTCATTAAAATAATATCATCGGTTCTTTTTTTTTTCTTTTCTGAAGAAGGAGGGAAATGTAACGATACAAATTTGCACAGTAAATTTCTATGTCACATATAGCAAGAACAAGCGAAAAAGAAAATCTGAATGTCACCTTACCACTACCTCTACACATAGTAAACATATAAACACTCACGTGAAGAAAACTGCAATGAATTTATCTAAAAAAATATGAAATTGAATAAAAATATTTATTTATAAATCACATGGACATTTCTGCGATCCTCGGTTCCAGCGTGCCGCGGGCATCGATGCATGCAATGTACAAAATCTTAAATATGCGGAAAAAAAATGAATTTCTTGTTACAATTTATGAATGGAAAAACTTGTATTGGAATTCTAAACACAATAACAAATAAACAATTATTACAGAAAACACATTTATTTATTTAAAAATATATATTTAAGGAATAAATAAAATACAAAACAATTTAACACGCATTTTGCACAGCTTTTATTTCTTTATACACATAAAAACAAATCAAACTCCGACAATAACAAATCAACAAAACACGCCAACACCAGTTTTTTTATTTTTATGAAATATTTTTGTCACATTTGGTTTTGGGTAATATTAAATATATATAATTCATAATACATATCTAATGTACCTTGTTTTAAATTATTAAACTAAAATACTTTATTTTAAATAATAAAGTGCAAATTAAAATTACAAACACACTCGGAACTACGCGTAGTAAGTACACAAAACCGCGGCGAAATAAAAAGAAGAGGGGAAAAAAACATGCAAACATGAAAAGGCACAAGAAGTACAAAATATAACACAACATGTTCAACTTTACTGCGAAGTTAACTACAGCAATTAATACCGGTGCGCTACACCAAAAAGCTCCGGTATGTTCGGTACAAAAGAAGGAACATTTGATATGATAGGGGACTTGGTTTTTGACTAGTGAAGAAGCAAGTACTCTGGCTCATTCGGCCTTCTGATAAATTTTACCAAGGACTTAAATTTTCACTCATACAAAGACAAGTACACTGGCCTATTTGGTCTTCTGGCACATTTTGCCAAAACCTGGCTCAGCCAAATGTAGTTAGAAATTATCCTTGTCATATGTTTTACTTTTGAATTTTTTTGTTTTAACCTGGCTCATTCGGCCAAATGATTATTTTCCACAGCACAGAGTAACCGGTTTTTTTTACAACAGAGGAGGGGAACGCAGGACATCACGCTGTCCTGCCAGGAGTCTTTTAGGAAAACGAACCGAAGCTAAAAGTAAAAAAAAACCTCGTCAACGAGTAATACAGTGAGCAGAAAACGTAAATCTACATTAAGGTCATAGTCACCCACAGCAGTAATAATTTCTGTGTGCTCGTCGTCAACGGTGATGCACATTTTTTTTTTAATTATTAAACAAAAGAATACTTTATTTGAATTATAATTTATCATATTCTGAATAGCTTATTCAGCAATTATTTAATTACACTTTGTTAGAATATGTTCTTTTATGAAATATATAATTTATATATTAAATCAACGTTCTTTTCCTCTAAAACTACGTTTCAGCAAAAAATATAAATATATTGTCTCGACTCTGGACGACGGCTGAGGATACCCCAGCAAAAACTAAAGATTTTTGAACGTCACCCAAAAGTGTCGTTACAATCTTTTCACGTTTAGTATTAACAAATGATTCAATCTAACAATAATTAATTATTATTATCATTTTTTTTTGTTGTACTGTTCACTATTAAATCATTAAAATAGGTACAAATAATTTAATTTATAGAACTATGTTCTTATTAATTATATTCAAGTTCTCCTGCTCCACGCTGCTGCTCCTTTAATCAGGAGCTCCTATCTGGAATCTTGAAACCTACTAAGGGGCGTTGTTTCTTGGCCGGAAAAAAAATTTCGCATAAATTGCGTTTGAATTGTTTATCCGGTTTTCGTTTCGGTTCAAGAATAAAAAAAATATATCAGTTCGGTTCCGATTTTCGTTCCGGAAAAGTATCAGTTTTCTTCGATTTTCGGTTCGGTTCCGTGTCAATATTTTTAATGTAATTGTATGCAATTTTTGTTTTAATTGACATCAAAACTCTAATGCTACGAGCCCGTATTATTCAATAGTCGCAACTAGAGCGAATATATCACAATATGAGCGCAGATTACAGAAGGTACGACAGACGAGGAGGTTTCGAGATCTTAGATGACTTAATAACAGCAGTTGATGACTTCCAAGCACTTCGAATAGAGCAAATCAAGGCAAGTAAAAGCCATGGACATGAAACGAGCATCAGGCAGATGGTAATTGAATTCAATCAAGCAGTATTGTGATGTATCCGGCAAGAAACCAAGACCGTTTATTACAAAGTCCTTTCGAGCGCAAGTGTTTGAAATGTTACACAATTAAGCTCATCCTGGTGGAAAAGCAACTATAAGATTAATAAGTTCTCGTTTTTGATGGCCTAAAATGAAGGCCGAAATAAGTCAAATGGTGAAAATGTGCATGGCGTGTCAAAAGTCGAAAATCCAGCGGCACAACAGGACTGTGTTGCAGGATTTCAACGCTCCTAATCAACGTTTTGAGCATGTACATATTGATATCGTGGGACCTTTACCCTATTGCAATTGTATTGTATTGCCTGATGGCCGGTGGTGGTACCGTTGGCGGAGATTACGGCAGAATGTGTGGCCGAGGCTTTAATTTAGGATTGGATAGAGCACTATGGTGTGCCGAAAAGGATTACGACAGACCAGGGACGACAGTTTGAGTCCAAGCTTTTCGATGAGTTAGCCAAAATTTTGGGGTGTAAAAGGCACCGAACTACAGCATATCATCCACAGTCAAATGGACTTGTCGAACGTTTTTATCGCACGCTAAAGTCTGCACTGAAATGTAAATCAAGTGGTAAATGGACGAGGGCCTAGCCGATTGTGGTGATGGGACTAAGAGCGGCATTTAAAGAAGATTTGCAAGCGACACCATCGGAATTAATTTATGGGGTAAATATACGTTTACCAGGACAGATATTTGATGGTGAGTTGAAGCAAGTATCGCAAACAGAGTTTGTTAAGGAGTTAAGGAAAACTATGAACGAACTGAAGCCATTGCAAGCATCGCGTCATATGACGAAAAAGCCATTCGTGTTTAAAGATTTGAAAAGTAGTACACACGTATTCTTACGTGATGACGCCGTGCGACCACCACTGAAACAGCCGTATGAGGGCCCGTATGAAATTTTATGTCGTGGTGAGAAAACTCTAACAATAAGGGCAAGAGGGCGCACGGTGAATGTCAGCATAGATCGAGTGAAACCGGTATATTTTGCGAATGAAGCTGGTAAAGGTTGTTTGCAAGATAATGTTAAGGTGATAGGTGGTAACAGTAACAAGCAGATAGCACCAAAGGTGACTCGAGTGGGTAGAGCGGTGCGTTTTTCAATGAGGTTTATGATATAGTTATAATATACAATTCGGATAGAATTTGTCGTTATGCAGCCGTCAAATTCTAGAAGGGGCTGTATGGTGATAAATATGCTGCTTTTTGTGGAGCTTTTATAAATTCTGTGATGTATCATCCATTTGTAAAATGAGATCACTTAGAACAACTAATTCCTCACCAAAAAAAAATCTTTTCTTCAATATGTGGCTTTTGCTCTTCAGTAGGTTGTTCTTTGCTGCTTTGTTCATGCCAGTAAATAAGTGATTTTGTTGATTCTCAGTAATCTAATTTATGAAAATTCACTGTTACCAGTTACTGGTTCAAAGACATACGAAAAGAATCCAGATAACTAACGTGCGTAGTTATTGTCTCAACTCAACGGTTATGTGGCAGGATCAGTTTAGAAATTTCTTCACGAATTAAATAAAATTGTATGTAGGGAAAATAATTTTTTTTTGTTTCTCTGGTAAACTAAAATAACGCTCTAAACCAAGATTTTGCTTGCTCGACTCTGAAAAAAAATGAACAGTGTTTTCTTCCGCTAGATATTTTATATCCCCGCTCTTCACCGCTATCCTCGATAACGTTCTTTTCGGGTCAACGTTTGGAAGTTTAGCTAGATAACGTTATTCTAAAACCATTTGCTCAGATACTCTTACAACATATGAGCTTTCGCCATACTTAACATCTACACTCTTAAATACTTTAATGTACACACTTAGCATCCACATAGCAACACAACCAAAAAAAAATATCCGTACACCTTCTTGGTGATGCTGATCCTTGTCAGCTTAATCCACATTTAGCAGAAACTACTGTTCTTGGCTTGCATTGGGATCCACTTCCCGTTGAACTCTTTTATCAGGTCAGCTCTTATGATACACAACATCTCACTAAAAGGCAAATGCTTAGTGATGCTGCAAAATTATGTGATCTAATTGGCATGTTAGCACAAGTCATCATCACGGCTAAGCTTTTCATACAAAAACTCTGACAGGCAAAATTAGCATGGGACGACCCATTACCACTTGAACTGTTGCAAGAATAGCTAATATACCGAAGGCAGTTGTCGCAACTGGAGGCAGTGCGAATACCGTGTTGGATAGGTATACAACCCGGAGATGAAATACAACTTCATGGCTTCTGCGATGCTAGTTTCAAGGTGATGGCTCCAGTACTCTATTTGGCAACAAACCACGATGGCAAAATCATTAGTCACTAGCTAGGAGCACGTACCATACACCCTATACTCCAACTCAAATATTGCTCTATGTTGGCTACGCAAAAACACATTACAATTAATGCAGTACGTTGCTAATCGCGTTGGCTGCGTTCAATCGATCACAGATATCAGGCATTGGTATCACATTCCTACCAGACTCAACTCAGCTGATTGCGCCACTCGTGGTATTTCCCTTTTGGCGTTGCATAACTACACATTATGGTGGCATGACCCTAATTTAACTGATTATCCATTATCCATTAAGTGATTAATACCACTTAAGGTAAAGGCATTGCAGGTAACAGGTC